GACCATCGCGAGCGGCGCGTGCACAACTACAGTATCCGGACAGCACGCATTATATACACCTACCGACAACGGCGTTGACGGTACTGTTGGCCACGGTGCTATACCGCGTTAGTGGTAAACGATGACGCTAGAAATGTTATACCGGTATACGACGTCCCACTACTCTTTGATCTGTAGTGGGAATTCCCTATTCTAGGACACAATCCCGGAAAAAGGTAGTTGTCAGAAAAAAGTTGAGCAATTCATATCTCAAGCGGTAGACAGTGATACCAATGCTAAAAACCAAAAAGTGTTATACAAAATAATCACAACCATCAGCAAATTACCAAAAAATTTTTAATTTATTAATAATATTTATAACTTTATTTTTTAATACATTTTAATACAATAATTAATACAGTCCGCAATAAATATAAACTTTTTTGTTTTATTACTCCGGTGGTAATCGATGTTTTGGTCTCGCGAGTAATATTGTATAGGTAATATGACTGTAGAAACGGTACGCGGTAATTATTGTTAATGACTGGACGGCGAAAGGGGCTGCACAATTTTATTCTGCTTTGTACGCGATGCTTGAATTAATTTAACGTCGTGTTATTATTACGAATACTTTTATTTGAGCACGCGTTTATATTTTGTGATTGTTAGTGCACGTTGAAACGCCGGTAAACTAAAATAAAATAGCAGGATTACAAACATCTATTGGAATATTTTTTTATTTTACGATCTACAGTCTTCCGCGATCAAAACAATAGTCAGTTTCAGTGGCCCAAAAATCTACGTTTTGGACAACACTTCGACATGTTGGGAATGAGAGTCGAATGGTTTTAGTTTGCGATTTTTACCAGGATATTATGTATGATTACTTAAATTAAAATAAGGTAAATTGAAATTCATTAATGTTGTTTAGACTGAAGTAATATGCATAAAAATTATTACAAATGTATACACAGTTGCTTTGTTACTTTGTGTGTTAATTAAATCGCAACGTATAAATTACATTGTTTTGACATAATATCAATGTTTCATTAGGAAGTTAAATAAATTGTATTTTTGCATGAATTAAAATAGATGGATGCACGAGAGGTTTAAAGGCCGATTATTAGGGCTGTTGTATTTACATTGGTTTCTTCCCTGAATAAATTAATTTCTATTACCTTGTTTATAAACATATTTTTTAACCTTGACGTTGGAGTTAGTTCGATTTCATCAACCGTTTTAAATAATTGATATACGTCATTACTCATTAGCCTAATGCGCATTAAAAAGGTATTTATATTATTCTTACTCCTGAATGAATGCGAACTGATTTAATGATTATTAATAATTGCATGTTTTGAGTATGATTGTCTCGAGAATTAAATAGTGATGACAGTTATATTAAAAAAAAAAAATAATGGTAATAAAAAATATAACAGCTGTAAACGAGTTCTTTCCTAATCAATGAATTGTGCTCGAAAGTTTTTTCAGGTTACACGAGTTTTATCTAAATTAAATAAATATTAAGTAAAAATAACTACAAAAATAATTTTGATAATAAACACAATAGACAAAAATTTAAATGATTCAATTTTTATAAATTCAAATCGTGACATAAGTCCCTTGTTATTTATTTTTCAACTAAGAAATAAATGTTTTTCGCTTGTCGTCTATGATTGTTGTCCTACAGTATTTCTAATTTTATTCTAAATATGACATTGCAAATTCTTTATCACTTCAATAAATTGAATTATACTGGAATATATTGAATAGAACAGAATTAAATTTTGAGTGAAATGTTTCACAACTATCAGTTGTGCGTAACATTGAATTTGATAATTCTGCACATACACAATGAGGAAATAAAGCATAATTAATGAGCGCACAAATAGTATAGATCTTAATAAAACAGCTGAACACAACTCGTATTTTCTATTTATATCATTGAAACACAACTCATGTACCTTACTTTTATTATATGGGCACAACTCATTAACTGATTAAATAAAACATGGCAAATACACCGATAACAATATAATTTATCAATATTTTTTAATTTTTAATTAACTCTTATCATTGAATATTTTGGTTGTTATATTATTGATCAATTTTTTTGAAAGATAAACAAATCGATTGTTTTGGTGTGAGTAAAATCGTCCTTGGATTAATTTTGATTGGATTTTGTGTTTTTTTACACGGCGATACTTCAAATCTCGACAATATTTCCGCTAGTCCACTCTTGGTTTCCATCATTGCGAATCGCAACCCTACGTTTATGGACATTAATATATATTATACATTATTTAAAAATAAAAATAAAAATGCATTTATATTCATTATTATACAATTAATTCAAATGTAATATGTAGGTAATTACCGATACATATCCTAGGTCCATCGCCAAACGGGAGGAACGTTCCGTGTGGTCTTGAACTTATATTTTCTTCAGTAAATCGTTCAGGATCAAATATATTTGGGTCTGAATAATACTTAGGATCATGATGTAATGAATATATTGGGATTAATAATCTCTCACCAACATTTAGAGATATGTTACTGTCTGCAATCGTGTACTTCTGAGTGCAAACTCGACCTAAAACTGGAACTGACGGGTACAGTCTCAATGTTTCTAAAAGTATATTGGTAAAAAAAAAAAGTTTACCATAAAGTTAAAAATATATTTTATCTATTAATAATTCATTTACTTTAAATTCATAACATAACATTATATACATACTAACCATTTATCACCATATCCAAATATTTCATGTCTTTTAACGTATCGTACGAAAGCTTTCCATCGTTTGCGTCCAATGTTTGCTTAATTTTTTCTCGTAATTTTACTTGAATTTCAGGATTCATTGCTAGCTCATATAAACAATAACTTATTGTGGAAGCTGTAGTTTCGAAACCAGCAATAAAGAATACGAATGCATTTGCTGCTAATATGTCATCAGTAAATAATTCTGAAAAGTAATTTAGAATTGAATAATAATATCATACGAGTACTTTGCATTATGTATTTTCTCAAGATAGATTATATTCGAGGTTATACAATACATTTCGTGACATAATCAAGTAATTTTTGTAATTTATGTGCATGAAAATGTATTTGAAATTAATCGATTTGATTTCTTAATTTTAACTGTGATTATATACATTATAAGCTTATAGTTAAAATTTATAAGTTATATGCTAATAATTATGAAATAGAGTATTCTTTATTTAAGTCAATACAATTATCTATTTATAAAATATAAATAAATATCTTTAGCTGATTATTGATTATTATTTATATGCTCATTTAGATAATTATCTAATATCAATAATTATATAATTTATACTTAAGTTACCAGATTTAAGTTCAATATAATGTACATATTTATTTATAAATTTATTTAGTAGTTATTGAATTAGTGTTCCATAGGTCATAGCTGATAGTTAATTATTTGTATAGTGTTTTAATGAACTAATAGAATTTAATGAATACATTAATACCTAATAAGCAGATTCCAGGTAATAGTTTTTACATAGTTATCAAGCACAAATAAGCAATACTTAATACTAACTAATACTAAGTATTACTTAATAAAGATTTTTGATTAATATTTTATTATCGATCAACTTCTACAATATCGTTAGTCGGATAAAATATAACTCAACATAAATATAGTACCTATGTCATATATGAATAAATAGTATGAAACTAAATTTAGAGAGCAAATTTCTGTCAAACACATTTTGAAGTAACTATAAAGCTAGATGTACTGTTATAATGTTACTAATGAATACGCGGATATACGCTGTATACTCGTCAGCAATTTTTTTGATTTTCGGCGTATACCCAATTTAAAATATCATTTTACGGGTAAACGCTCCTAAAATAACTCGAAAACCAAATGAAACTTATTTTATAGTTTATAGGAAAATTTTTTTGATGTTTTAATGAACTATTTATCTTATTTATCAGTATACGCTGTATTTAATGTATTTTTAAATTAATTTATTAAATTTAAAAATCGTTTATTGTTTTGAATTTTAAATATTGTTATGATACAATGTTGAAACAAAAATATGTAATACACTATATAACAATTTTTATAGAACAAAAATACATTGATACTTAACGTTACCGGTCTTTAATTTTATAGTGATACATTAGAAGTTAATAGTTATAAACATATTGTAAGGGATTAAGTAAATTTTTTCTAGCGCAATGACTAGGTAGCGAAAAAAACACTTTTTGGGTTGAATGTACATGTTTTAGTAGTGGGTATACTCATAAATACATTTACTAATAAACCATTGAATTGATTGTAACCTGTATAAATCTATTAACTTATTTTTCATAAATGTAACTTTGATATGTTTATTATGTTTACAAATGATTAACGATATAAATTTATAATAATATAAAAATTTCTTACTTTGTTCATTTTCCTTTAGTTTTTCTTCGTCTTTCAACTTTACTAAAAGTGCTATAAAATCGTTACGCGCATTTTCATCATGTTTGTGTTGTTCTATTGTTGTCTCAAGTAGATTATCAAAAAAGTCATATATGTAACTAGGCATACCACGTATTCTAAATACATCTAAAAGTCGACCAAAACCAAGCAGTCTAATTAGATTTAGTAAAGTCGATCGAAATCTTGGCATCAAGACCTCTCGTCCTGTACGACGAAATTCTGAATCTGGATCTGATAATGTATTTAAATCTAGACCAAATGCACAACGACCAATAGTATCAGTTGTAAATTGAGCCGATGCTTCACTTACATCAACAATTCCTGTAAAAAATATAAACTTTCAACTCAGTATTTTAGATAATATCAATAATGATAAAAATACCTAATACTATTTGAAATGTATATAGTCATGTATAAATAGCTTAACTTGTTTACGTTACGGTCTCATGACTATATATATTCTTAAATATTTAAAATTTTTGATAATTTGTAGTACCTAATGTAAAATTTATGTCAAAAACAATATATAAATATGTATATAAAATATTTTTTAATATCATGTTTGTTATACCGTTGTCCATTTTTATACATAACATATTTATCGTATAAAATATATTTTTAAGTACAAAGGACATAGGTGTAAAGGTAAATAATAGGTTCGTAGGAAGGTTATTTATGCATTATTTTAGTCTTTTGTCGATATTAAAATGTGATTTAAATAATATGATCATTTCTAATTAAGGACGTGGGTACCTATTACACCTAGTCTAGGTGCGTATGCATATTGCATATATACATATACTACATGACCTACACGTATTATTTAGTTGTCGCACGCCTACGGGTTTTTTTTGTTGTTCCTGTAAAGTATTATGAGTATGAGAACTAACAAAGATAGTATTTCGATAACAAATTGAAAATTTGACTCGAGTATAGAAAATAATGAATATCGAAAGTTCCCTACAAGTGCTTATATATTTATTTACGTAAGATTTTTATTTACACGTATAGGGCGATTCACCTGACACGTTTGTGCTTATTTTTTATTTAATTTTTAAGTTTATTTTAAAAAGATGAATTATCAAAAAATAAGCGAGCAGACCATGTCTTATGAATCGCCTTGTACGACATATAGCCACATTGGTTATTATGTATAATATTGCACATTTGTTACACATCATTACCGCTGTTGCTCGTTATCTGCTCGTTCAAGTTGTCGATCAGACGCGCCGTGCACACGTTTATGTCGCTCAACATTGACTTAAGTTTGGCCGCCGAAAAAGTCGGACTTAACTTGGCCCTGATCGCTTTCCACTGTTCTCCGCGCAGGTTCACCAGGTGATCGAACAGCTTGTCGTGCACGAACGACACCTTGTTCGCGTTCCGAT